TGGATGGACACTGTCCCTATGGGATGGATGGACACTGTCCCTGTGGGATGGATGGACACTGTCCTATGGGATGGATGGATGGACACTGTTCCTATTGGATGGATGGACACTGTCCCTGTGGGATGGATGGACACTGTCCCTGTGGGATGGGATGGACACTGTCCCTATGGGATGGGATGGACATTGTCCCTATGGGATGGGATGGACACTGTCCCTATGGGATGGGATGGACATTGTCCCTATGGGATGAGATGGATGGACACTGTCCCTGTGGGGTGGGGTGGATGGACACTGTTCCTATTGGATGGATGGACACTGTCCCTGTGGGATGGATGGATGGACACTGTCCCTATGGGATGGATGGACACTGTCTCTGTGGGATGGATGGACACTGTCCCTATGGGATGGATGGACACTGTCCCTGTGGGGTGGGGTGGATGGACACTGTCCCTGTGGGATGGGATGGACACTGGGATGGATGGACACTGTCCCGATGGGATGGATGGATGGACACTGTCCCTGTGGGATGGATGGACACTGTCCTTGTGGGATGGGGTGGATGGACACTGTTCCTATTGGATGGACATTGTCCCCGTGGGGTGGACCCAGTCCCCGTGGCACAGCCCCCTGCCCGCTGTCCCCGGGAGGTCCCAGCCCACTCCGTGGGGAGGTCCCAGTTCACTCCTTGGGGTCCTTGGGGAGGTCCCAGTTCACTTCTTGGGGTCCTTGGGGAGGTCCCAGCTCACTCCCTGCCCTCTCCGTGCCCGCAGTGCCCCCCGGGAAGCCCTCTGCCCACGTTCCCAGCTCAGCCACGGTGGGTTCCCGGGTGGTTCTGCGCTGCTCCGAGGCCCAGGGCTCCCCCCCGCCCACCTTCCGCTGGTACAAGGACGGCTCCGAACTGCCCCAGGACCCCAAATCCAGCCCCGCCTTCCGAAACTCCTCCTACACCCTCGACCCCAGCTCGGGGGAGCTGGTCAGTCAGGGGGAAAGGGGGGAGGGGGGCAATTCCCGGCCTTTGTTCCTTGCCTTTCCCCCCTTTTTTCCCCTCTCCCCCTTTTCCCCCTCTCCCTTTTCCCTGCCCTTTTCTCCCTCTTTTTCTCCCCTTTTCCTCCCCCTTTTCCTCCCCACTTTACCGCCCCAAATTCTCCCCTCCCCACCTTTTCCCCCTCCCCCGTTTTCCTCCTCTTCCCCCCCTCCTTCCTCCCCCTTTCTTCCCCTTCCCCCCCCTTTTTCCCCTCTCCCTTTTCTCCCTCTCCCCTCCTTTTCTCCCCTTCTTTCCCCCTTTTCCTTTCCCGCCCCAAATTCCCCCTTCCCACCCTTTCCCCCCCTCCCCCTTTTCCCCCTTCCCCTCCTTTTTCCCTCCCTTTTCCCCTCCCCTCTTTTCCTCTCCCTTTTCCTTTCCCCTTTTTCCCCTTCCCTCCATCCCCCTTCCTCCTTTTTCCCCTTTTTTCCCTTCTCCCCTTTCCCATTCCCCCCTCCCTCCTTTTATTCCCCCCTTTCTCCCCGTTTTTCCCTCTTTTTCCCCCCTTTTTCCTCATTTTCTCCCTCATTCCAGATCTTCGAGCGCGTGGGGGGCTGGGACACGGGGGATTATCACTGCGAGGCCTCCAACAACGTGGGATCCCCCCAAAAATCCGACGTTTTCCACTTGGAAGCGAGTAAGGCTGGAGCGGCTCCCGGTCCTGCCCCATTCCCACCCGGCCCCGCCCTTTTCCAGCCCCTTTTCCAGCCCCTTTTCCAGGTGTTTTTGAGGTTCCCCCGCCCCGTTATCGCCTCGTTATCACCTCCCGCGGGCGTTAATTACGTTAATTAGCCCGCCGTGGTCTCCCGGGATAGCGGGAATTCCGCCCTCGGGAATGATAAACCTCA